CACGGTGTTCTAGCCGACGATTTCTAGTCCTACTTTTTCCTCGCGTTCATTATCGACATTATGGTCTCTTACTAAATACCTTGCATTTACATACTCGGGACTACCGAAAGTATACGGAAGACAGTTAAGGATCTAACGTGATTTTATCTGATATACGAAAGAACGGTAACGCTCATACGTAACAACAATTTATCTCTACCCTGTTACTTTAAGAAAGATTAATTCGTAACGATAAAATCGAAAATGTTCTAGAATATTAAAATGTAACGAGACCAATATAATTTGTGACACATGTTTGCGAATATGACAAAAGATATAGAAGACTGTTTAATAACGCAAATAGCAGGATATAGGTCCGAGAAATTGACAGAGTATTTGAGACACAATATCTTATCTCGAAAGGAATTTGTCTTCGAAATACCCCGTACAATCGCTGCGCGGACACGAAACTTTCGAAACGAATCGTTTAACTTTTGATATCCCGCAAGATATTCAGCTCTCATCGTGTTACTCCAAAAAGATTATATTCATCGCCGAGTTGAAATATAACCCAAGTGGAAAGTTATTCTCAAGAAGCGAACTACACACCAGCGACATGCAATGTATCAGATCGATATCGGTATACGAGTCGATAAGAGACAATTTATCGCGTGGCTGTAGCGAGAAGACGTGCTCCCCGAGATAGAACAGAACTCTAAGCACGCCAAGTCTCTTAGCCGTTTAAAGTAAATTATTCCAAATAAATGAGCGTATCCACGCGAGTGTCTACATCCCGGAGACATTCGTTTACTCTTAATTAATGATCCGCCGGCAAGACGGCGGGATTAATTGCGTGCAATCAGATCGCGGTAATTAATTACTTGGTGTGTTCGGGGCCACTTTATTTCAGCTCGACGATGGAAGCGCAGCTGAAATTGCGCCGAGTTAGCAGCAGCCGAGCAGATCGGCTGAAAATATTCAAGGTAACGTACGTACATATGTACACGCGTGTGTACGAGTCGCGCAAACCTGGCTGCCTCTCTGTTTCTACTCGACGAACAGTCGATTAATCGAGCTGACTGGGGGCAACGAGATCGTTCCTTCTCCGATTGGCTGGCTGGCCTCGTTAACCGGTTCCACCAGACAAATGCAGATAGAGACGCTACAAATTACAATGGTGTCGGCGTAATTGATCGAATCGCGGGGCAAACCGGGGATTACGCGATTACGGGATCACTCTTGGTCCCCAGCGCCCCAACGTGTTGCATAAGCAACGCCACCGAAATTCTACAATTTTATACCCTCTATGACCTTTTCATTGCTATTATATTACCAAGCAGTTATCGTAAATGCAAAGAGTCATTAATGGCGGGACTCGAATACGCGTCATCAGAACTCGTTTAAAGAACCCACTGTACATCGAGTGACAACAAGTTGACAATTAACAATTTTTATAATAATCATATGTGTCGCTAGACAGAGTCGTCATCTCAAGTTCCTAATATCTCAACATCTCAGTCTTCTAATATACCTATCCCAATACCTCAAGGTTCTATACCATAAAGTCCCAGTTTTCCAACCCGCCAACATCTCGACATACCAAAATTCCAACTCCCCATGTCCCAAAATCCCAAACTCCGTAAACTCCCAACTCTCGTATAATAATAAGTTGTACGTCCTTATTCGAGTTTTGTTTTTACGGTCATAGTGTTTCTCTTAGAGCCTAGCCGGTCGTTACTCGAGTCCTCCCACGCGAATCAAATTATCCTCCGCTGTGCGACGTGAAAAAGAGGAGGCGTGTCGTTTGCGGTTACTTCCTCGATCATTGCCACTTTTACTTTTGTCTTATTTAACGCATTCCTTTCTTCCGCCTGACAACTTTGGATCCCATTCTTAATTTTGTTTGCACGATCAGAAGCCTCCTTAGCATTTCTGTAAAGTCAGATTCCCGCCAGATTTCTCGATTACCCGGGATAGATTAGAGCACAACCTTTTAAGCGGTTTAATAACATGATTCAAGGAGCGGCAGCGTTCGATACATTAAGGTCAGCTGGGTCGAGGTGTACGAAGATAATAGCCAGCCACCGATCGGCTGGCCGGCGAATAAGTTCTTTTATGTCCAAGTATGTAACCCACCTGAGAGGTTCATTAAAGGTGCGCGTTGCACAGAGTTTAAGAGTTATTCCGTCGTTTTACTGTTAACATTTGTGCGGTGTAAACCAACAGGTCCCGTGCGAAATAAATCTTCGAGATGGTGTCTGTACTCGTCGAAGCAGAAGTACTTTCGGTATAATAGCTACCAGTTTTGACCGTTCCGTTGTAAAGGGCGTTCCAATTACACTCCCCGCTGGAATTTTTTCTGTGACCTCGGAACTTTTGAAACCTTGTAATTTTGAACAGTTTCGGACTTTGGAAATAGGTGTCTTGAGTCTGAAGTTTCGTTATGTACAACACCAGCAGAGTTAGAAAGTACTGATTTTAAATTATATTAAACCAAATGGTCACCTGTCGTATACTAAACAATGAACTACCACCCGAATGCAAATAATTCTTCAAATTCTATCTTTGAAAAATAAAACGCTAATCGAGGTGAATTATGACAAATTCAAAGGAGGCAAAGATCACGCGATCAACAAGTAATTCGATGATGGTTGAAGAGACGGTGTCCACGAAGATCTTTCGGGTCCTCTTAATGATGAGATCGAACGGCAATCGAGTTGCCGAGCATCGAGGTCAGTCGGGGTCAGGCGGCGCAAAAATAATAATCAATCGAACGAGCGGCAAGTGAGAGGCGGGCAATTACGCGGTGGCGGCGGTACCTGTGCTGCGGTTTGCCCTGGTCCAGGAAAGACGAGGACAAGCAGATCCTCCTACCGCCTTTAATTCGCCTCCACCGTTTCTCTTGGACCCCTATCATAATGTAACAACTCCCTCGCTTTATTATTAAAAGTTAAAATTCCGCTGGGAGCCGAACGATCTTGCGGCCAACCGATTCCCTCCGTCAGCTGTCCTCCTCCTCTTCATCTTCTCCACTTTCTTCGTGCCGTTTATAAAGTCGCTCGTTGCCGATCTTCTGTCCTCTTGTATAACATCCTGTGCGACATACAGAATGAAACCAGAAATGTTTCTTGCAACTTTTTCTTCGTCTTTAATTTTTTTTATAATTAGAGCTCTAACGACCGCTGCAGATTTTCGAAATGGAGGCAGGCTTGTAACGGAATTTCGTCCGGACGAAAAAATGGGAAAAGCGACGACGAAACGAGCCTCGTCGACGATTTGGAGCGAGCGAGTGTACCGATCGGTAATAAAATTCGCGAGCGAGGATTTCGCGCCGAACGGAGCGGTGATTTTTTCCCCATCGCGCGTACATCGACTGCTAGCGGGCGGAATTGTCGAAAGGCGGTAAAACTGTCCAACGAAGAGTAAGGGGATTGCAGGTGTGCAAGCCCGTTTGCCCGTACGAATTACGTGGACGCGGAATAGCTATTTACTCGACGACTGATGGAAACTCGCTAGGCGGATACCGGTTTCACGATGGAATATTTAAACGGAACAGGAGTTGCTCGACGAAGCGCAGTCGGAAAACCGCAGCTCGTTTTCTCGTCGACGAAATACCGTCGCGTCGAAAACGTACGTATTCGTGTCCACGAAGAGTTCCAGCTTTATAAACAAACCGTACGCCATGTTGACTACCTGTCCGGAAAAGTGCTTTCGTTAAAACACCATATTCGATGTCCACAACTCCTGTAGTTACATTGTCCACAAATTTTTACACACGCACGTAGCCAGATTTGCTGTAATGATAAAATAAGGTGGTTCTAAGACATATGAAAAACTTGAATGCTGCCGCGTTCAGCTTTTAATTTAAGCAATACCCATTACGTACCTCTGGCCAGCCCATCGATTATCAAAATTTATAACGAATCTCGCATAATTATTTATGAGTGTCATCGTAAAAATCTGTTGTCTAGAGCCGTCCTTAACATGATTTTCTCCCCGGCGAGCGACATCGCTTAATAATTTTGTCGGCAACCGAGGAAGGAGGAAACTGATCATATTCTTGGCGCGAGCTCGTTTTCGATGAGTATAAACTGTTCCGGGAACGCGATCGAGCCGATCTCGGGGGCCATTTTTTAACGACTATCGGTGGACGCGATATAACCGCGTCGAGGATCGCGGATAATACGACGACCGAGCGATTCGCGCGATTACATATTATGCTAAACACGCGAAAACGGCTTTTTAAATGGAACATCTACATTTATGCCCGAACCCACCTCATTTCGGCGTGCCCGTTACCTTGGGCCAACCGATCGGACTCGTAAGCAGGGTCGAATTAAATGCAATTTTCGGCCATGCGAGGTATGCATAACAAATTGTCGAGACAGAACGTCTTCTTTATAGTTCGGATCCTGGCGCGGCCATTATGCACGTAGCACGGGGGCAGAAGCGATTCCTCCTCCAATTACATCGGGGTTGTAGAAATTGCCAATATGGTAATTTCACAGCGGAACGCAAATTTGCCCTTTTAAGCTTTCGGGACTCGATAATCTGAAAATTTCTAAATTTTAAATAGTGCGCCAAGGCTGCTTGGAAAACAGGGAAGGTTTCAACTACCCGAAAGTGTACTTGTAATAAGAGCAACTTTCTCGAAAACCGAAATCACGAAGGAAAGCGGTTCGCTGATTCAAAATCAACGTTCAAGTGCTGCCTCCAACGAATATCGAAAGCCAGATTGGTTACTGGATAATATTATTCCTCCCAGATAATGGCAGCTCTGTCCGCTCCACTTTGATCATGTACTCGGCCTAGCTAATCAAGTCCGTTTCACCCGAACGAGATAGCGAGCCACAATCGTCGGTGAGAGAAATCGAATCGTCGGAACGGTCCAAGAAATTGAAAATTAAACGGTTCGCGAAACGATGGACGCCGACTGGAGTTACCTTCCGACCCGTTTTTAACTCGTATCCCGATCTTTTTTTCTGTTTCATGCGCTGACCGGGATCACCGTCGCTGTCCAGGATCCAACGTCCGTGAGTATGGGTTATTACGGCGTCACGAAATGTAGCAAAGTATCGGCTGCGGAGCTCATCGTTCACGAGAGTGAATGGATGGCTGTATTGCTGCAGTTACCATGAACGAACGGGTTTCTTTTCCCGTCGCGAGGACCCGACCAGACCCGAAAAAAGTCTCGCGCGTATCGCGTTTCACTTATTGCAAACTGCTCCGCTTACCGTGTTTGTTTCGGTTTCGATCGAACCGGCGCGGCAAAAAAGCACAACGAACGAACCGAGTCGCTCCGAAATTCGGCGTTTCACGGTTACCGATACGCTGCCGGACGTCTTCCCTTTCTTGCTCGCGTCGCGGAACAAACACCGATGCGTTTTTAATTAACACATTGTCGTCCATTCGAGCTGCCCTTCGCCGACGCTGCATCATTCGACTACACGTTTCTTGCGGAACCGTTCGCCCACTGAAATCTTCCCTTTTTTTTTTTTTTATTAACCTGAACACCTTGATTGAGATCTTTGTTCGGTTGTTACGGTTGAAAGGTTCCGCAGGTGAGTCCGTTTAAAGCTGGGTTTACACGCTCGTGCGATTTGCGCCACTAAATCGTGCGATTGATTTTTGTTACGGTACAGTAGCGGTCAAGATTCACTCAGCACGTTTTTCTGCGAGATTATTTGTTCTTTGGTAGATATGTTGCTTCTGGTTCAGCCTCTTTGACATTCTACGTATACCTTCATAAGCTGTTAAGAACAGGGACCCACATTCTTAATCTTTTGCGCTATTTTGACGAGTTTCGTGACGCACTAATAGCTTCGTCCGTGGATTAATTTTACTGGAACTTTTAATACGCTTCAATTTGGAGTACAAAGCTAATTATAATTTGCATAGTAGATTGCATTATAACATATTGACATAACATTTCACATTTTTTTGTCTGTTTTAATATTGTAGTAATTAGTCAGTTCTGACTGACGCACCTGATAAATCATAGTGAGAAGTCATAGTGCAAGGGGTTAAAGACAGAAAGATAGAAGGTAAAATACCATCACTTCGCTTGAACAAAATGAACTAACTAAAGAATTTAACCAAACTGAAATTGAATTAAATTTAAAAAAATATAGTTGTCGTTTATTTTACAAATGAGCGTGTAAATCCAGACTGCCCGAGTAGATTAAAATTTTCGAACCGATTCGAGTTTTTTAAATTGTACCTTTCGTTTCATGCTCACTGTACGTTTTGGACCAACCGACGCATCCACCGTGGGATCAACTGGAATTCAGGGCGTAAGTAGCAGTCAGATTTTTTGCATTCGAAATTGCACGTTGTCAGTGTACGTCAAACCCGACCTGGTTCGAGATTTCACTGCACTTGATTCAAGTTTGTTAACGTCCGGGTAATTCGTGTCAGAATGCTCTCTTGACGAGCAAAGAATACTTTGTTTCTATTATTGTATTCGAGCTAAGGCGACGCGATTACTTGCACGAATCGATCATTTTCGTCTCGAGTACGCGCGGTCCACGTTATTCGTGTTCCGGTAACGAGTAAGGGATACTTTGTTTCTATTATTGCGTCCCACGGGAAATGATACAAACTGGGCAATTACTTGCACGAATCGATCGTTTTCGAGCGAAAAGTATGGTATAGCGTGAAAACCATTATGTATTGAATTCTTTGTAAGTTGTTACGAAGTCTCAAAAGCGACGTAGAACGAGCAACTAATTATTTAATGAACAATCCTGTGGACAGTTTGTCGGGGAACTTGTTGTTGGCTTTGAGAGAAGCGTACACGCGATCTTTGTAATGTATCTATCTACAGGCTGCTTCGAAAGAGTATAACACTGCACTTCCTGTATAAAGTGCTCGTATATGAAAATTGATTACAAGGAAATTTGATATACGAATACATGTCGACCTCGATGTACATGAAATTTAAGAAAAATATATTCAATTAGCTTGTGTCCGAAATAAATAAGGCCGACCATCGGGGACCATTCACTTAAGATTGAAATAAAGTATCCAGTTTTTAATATCGAAACAAATTGGCAAGTGGTCGAGCAGCATCGTTCTTTGCCTCGAATTTGGGATTTTCGTAATGTGCACCTTTTTTGAGGCACTCTGTATACGGTCCTCTTAACCCGTTCCCGATAAATCAGCAGCGCGTTCTCCGCTGAAAATTGCGATCAATCGCGACAATAACATCATACGTGGCGCAAAACACGCGGATCGTTATCGTACGTTTGTTTCCCGCGGCGGATCCGTTCCCGCTGCGAGAGTCGGGGCCGTGCACAGCTGTTCTTGTCAGTATCCCGATGCATCACGATAAATCCAGCGAGGAGCTCCTTTTTCGTACGGTTTCGATGCGCCGCTCGTTCGCCGTGTGTCGTACCCTCGACGATCCGGTAAAACCGAGCACACGCGTGTCTTCTCTCATACAGCGAGCACCGTATAATCGCGAGATCGAGGCCCGCGGTTAAGTCTCAATTAACCGGTCGATCTCTATCGCGAGATTCTTCCCTTCCGAGATTATCTCTCGTGATTGCATAATGAACTTCGTCGATCGTCCTGTGCAGTCTAGGATCTTCGAATTACCTCTTCGATCGATTTCTAATTCTTCGCCGTTTAGTGCGATGTTACGATTATGACGACGAGTACATACTAATTTCTCTGGGTGGTCAAAGAGGAAGCAGTATATAGAAAAAGAGAAAATGTTCCTGTGAATGCTATGCACTTTTTCAAATGTCTAATAATCAACAACTACGATGGGAAGTATCTGCAACATATCTTATAGGAAAAGGGGAAATGTTCCTGTGAATTCTATGCAATTTTTCAAATGTCTAATGATCAACAACTATAATGGGAAGTATTTGCAACATATCTTATAGGAAAAGAGGAAATGTTCCTGTGAATTCTATGCACTTTTTCAAATGTTTAATAATCAACAACTACGATGGGAAGTATCTGCAACATATCTTATCGGAAAAGAGGAAATGTTTCTGTGAAGTCATCAATTTCAACGGTGTCAATGGACCATGAATATTTATGATGCTGTTACAATGCTTTAATGTATGTGAAATACATGCGACAGTACGAGGGATCATTTTCGTAGTCACACAGAAAGTTCAACCATCAGATGAGTCCTGATGGACACTGAGAAAACGCTACTGTGACTGACAGAAATGAGAAGTGTATTCTCTGAATTATGCTTATGAACGATCAAATTGACCACAGCAATCACACGTATCAGATTAAAACAAAGAGAATATGCACCTGCTCTTTCGAATTCCTAGAGCTCGTGGCAGGTATACTCGAAGGATTCGTACTTGACTCGGAACATGGTACTCGCATAACTCGAGAAAGAACTGTTTAATGTAGGTGTTCTTTGTTTAAGCGCAGATGTTCCACTTAGCCGTGCATGAAGTTGGAATACGGGTGTACGGAAACGGCGGATGTTCGAAGAAATCGGTGAAATAGTAAAAGTTGGTGCCGCGGTCCGTACAAAAGGCATCTCTTAGGGTGGTGGCGAGGGCACGAATACGAAATGACGGGACGGATATCTGACGTCTCTATAGCAGTAAAACGGCGGGCATGCGTG